CAAGGATTCTTGCCACTCTCTGCAACCAAGATACAATTCGACAAAGAGACGAGTAAAGTCAATCCCTTGACCAATTTCCTGTCGAGACGGTTATGCTTTCACTCCTCGTTTTGTCCTGGCTTCTCTATCCATTTCTTACCCTCTTGTCTCGCCATCGTCCTATCACAACTTCTGACATATCTATATTCCACAAGAGATGTGCCCTTTTGGCGAATTCACCATGGCGTCATCATACCTACTGCTTGCCTTTCTCCCCTCTATTTCCATTGGCTGATCCTGCTCTAGTCTCCTGTCCGGATCTGCCTCATGGGTCCGTGAGTCCATTTTTATCTTTCTGGTTGACGGATTTCACTCGGTTCCAGCTCCAGCGTACTTTTACTCCAATTTCTGTTTCTCAAGCCTTCAGTAACATGTAAAAAGTCGCCTAATCTTCAGAGCCTCTCGGCTCTGATTCCCATGCCTGCAGATATTAGGCATTACCCTCACGCATCCTCTTCTCTATTAAGCCTGTGTACGCCGAGCAAACTATGGACATCCATCTTTGGTCGCCTGCTCCATCTCAAGTGGATTATTAGCCCATTTGGTCACTGCACGATTTCAGTGACCAAATTCCTCGCCCTTGTAACCCCAAATTTTAGTTGCCTATTCGAGCTGCCTACTCTCACTGTAAACATCTTAGCTTCATTTTCGAAATTTTCTCACCCCCTTCTTCCTTGCGATCCCTTTTCCTCTGGTTTAAACTAGATCCTTGACCCAGGAGTCTCTTTTTTGCTTGTCTTGTTGCATCCCTGTTTTCTCAGAGTTTGATTTGGCAATAGGCATAGTTATCGCTGACTCTGCCTTTTTTCAATCTCCTGCTCATTATTTTTTTACTCTGAGGATCTCAATGTTCCAAGTCCACGGTCCGATTCTGGAAATGATCATGCATAAAATTTACCCCGGATGAGGTGCGTTCCTCAAGGTCTTCCTGCCGATATTACTAAGTTGCGAAAACAAGGTTAAACAGCTTCTATACAACGCAAGATGACCGCGACCATACAAAAGGCCACACCATCCTGGTCTTCATACCCCTATTTATTGTTGATTATTCTCGATTTATTCAGGGAGGTGGTGTTGTGTGAACGTTTAAAGGTAGCACGTTTGGTCGCAAAATAGCCTTGGTATTTCCTATCTCTGGCTGATGCCTTATTACGTAATCTGTTATTTGAGCTTTTGACCAATATCTCATTTAAGCCATTCAATGATATATATCACCATCCTCTAGCAGGCCTACTTCTGCTCACCTTTCGTGGGCTTACCTATGACCTTTATCAAGCGGCATATGCGAAATAATTTAGCTATTTGCCAAGCCTCCATTTAGGTTCTACCTAAGTGCTTGCATATTTTGATGAGTCATTTAAGCACATCACACACAAAGCTGGCCTCCTCTTTATTTGTAAACTTTACCTTAGTATCTGTGGCCAAGACTACCTCCCGTACCCACACCGTCGATTTAATTTGGAGCTGTCGCGGCCAAAGCATGATTTATCAGAAGAAATTGATTTTATATTTGTTTCTTATAAGCCAGTGAGTCCCAAACTGGGCGCCCCGGGGAGCCGCGAAATATTGTAAAAGCTTCAATTTGAGAAAATATGCAGTTATTTGCAGGCTAATCCATCACATTAATTATTAAATATTAATTTAATGTTAATAAAGTATAAATAATCATGAAGATACACGAGTTTTTTTATTTTTATCTCTTACTTACGATTAGTCATACTTAGGGTGGGGCGCCTTGGAAAAATTTCAATTGAAAAAGGGCGCGGCGAATAGGAAAAGTTTGGGAACCGCTGATATAAGCTATTCTATGGCGCTCGCTAAACTCACACTTGAGGTAGCTCGCACCACTTGTTGCTTCTCATTTAGTAATTAAGATCAAATTTAATTAATATGAATATGTTCTAATAAGCTCATAAAAAGGGATGCACATCTAAATTTATAAGAAACGAGGTTTCAAAAATATTTGGAGAATTGAGTCCTGACCATACAAAGTAGTAATTGGAGAAGATTATTCGAGGCTATCACAATCCTTCAACAGTGCTGCTTAATGGAATTGGCTTAATTACTTATTTTTCGTATATAAGTAGAGTTTCGAGACTATCTATACTGGCTATACTGGCGAAGCATCCTGGAATGTACTTTGTCAACTCTTCAACTGTTTAAGAAAAATATACTTTCCCTATTACAGTATTTAAGCAAAATCAAAATCACTTACCTCAAATCACCAAACGAGATGAGTTAAGGTTGAGTCCTTAACCTTTATTATTGCCAATGGCAATTCCTACCTGGCCTTGAATGACAAAATATGTAAACTCCGCATGAACTCTTGATACAATACCACGATATCATAGTTCTTACTTGAGTCATAATACTTAAGCCTCCTTGCATGCAAAGAGCTGGATACGAAGGGTAACTGGGTTTCGATGAATCTCTTAAAAGGCCTTCATTTCGCATTAAATTGCGTGAAGAAGCGATTCGAAGGTCGATCTCACCAGAAGACGACGGCTGATTCCCGTCAACTTCTTGATGTAGTTTTAACATGAAATTTTTAGAATGATGATGTCCATCATATGATGGATGACAGGAATAAACCTTCTTTTGGTAAGATCGACCTTCGAATCTCTGCATCATGCACTTTCATACGAAATTAAAGGCTCCTCAACAAAAAGCTAGACAGCATTTTAATTTGACTGTCTAAAACGTCTATAGCACATGAGTGATCACAATTTGCAATTATCGCTGATTAGTGAAAGAGTCGATAGGATATCGAGTTGGAAGTAGTTGTGTTAATTCAATTCTATATTCTGAGCTTATAATATGGAATAATTGTGACGCACTTTCGGGGATTTCATGAATAGCAATATCTATAGATCAATTTCATTTATATTTAATTTTACTAATTATTTTACTTAACTACCTTCTTAGGCAAACATTTAGCACCCCGTGAGCTCCGTCTTCTATTTTCTACGGCTGCTGCTGTATATGTTAAAAATGAGGTGCGAAATTTCGCCATCCAACCTGACTCTGCCCAGCCAAATTCCTGGGACCTCGTTGTCTCAATGCCATCAAACGCTGGTGTTCCTCCCAAAACGTCTGATGCCCCTGCCGAAAAGTTTGAATATGTTGCCTGCCGAGTAACCTACTCACCTAAAGACAATAAGAAGCTTCAAGTAACCCTCATGCCGTGGACACCGCCAGAAAAAGTAGCTCGGCGAGGCAAAGATGAGATCATCCCTCCGAACCAAGAAGGAACCGAATCATCTGTGTTGCCATGCTGGCTAGCTGATCAAACAGACGTAACCTCATTACTCGTCGAATTGGATGACAATTTCTCTCTAGCTGATAAAGTTTTGTCTCAGTCTGTTGACGGACACGAGGTGAGAGCACCATTCAAAAGAAAGTCTATTAATTAATTTCATTGCTTGTGCTTAGCCCCATATTATACTGCTTGAAGAATTTGTAGATTCTACTATCTAATCATCCTAATTACATTTGTCTTTG